TTCTACTTATACAGATTTCAGAGACTCCATCTTCATAAGGTCTTACTAATTCTTTAACCTGGACCTGAACTTTGAGCATAGCATTTCCACACTGCTCTGGCCTTTTACATCATATTTATAAAATGTAGAGTGTAATTTTTTTCCTCCATTAATTAGACAAAATTGGGCACCACTTGCTTCAGATGTTAAAAGAAATCAAAGCACAAACTACACTTGTAAAGTATACATCAGTGCTTTAAAAATGTGCAAGAATAGGTATAATCAGAAAATCGGTGGTATGGAGGTGGTTAGGCCGAACGTAGCTTTATAAATAGGCCCCTTTGAGTTTACAGTGTATCTCTAGGCAAAACCTTTTTTATTATTATTATTTTGGATAGACTGCAGAAAGGTTAGACCCTCTGTAATGTTTTTATTGCTGTCCGTTTCCCCATTGTGAACATTCACCCTTCTGTTTATCCAGCTGACCACTCTCACCAAGAAAGAAAGTAGAGTTAATGCCAAAATTTTAGAGTTAAATATCCCTTCAGAAGTGACAAAACGCATCAGAAGACATGACATCTGACGTATTACACCAAACCGGAAGTGTCGCCGTGGCCATTTTGGAATCTGGAAAAATGTGGTTTTTTGAATAGAAAAACTGCTGAGGCTGGTTTGTTGGCTCTATTCTGATTACTATTTACCCCCAATGTAAGATGCTATATTAAAATATATTTATACTTTGAAATACGTACTACATAAGTCTCCTTTCTACTTTAGGAGGAATATGGAGGATTGAAGGCACAACTACTATATCTAAAGTGAATCAAAGCCTGGAAGTGACTGCTATATACACCAGGAACATCCTGTTAAGTTTGATATTACTCCCTGAGGGTAATTGTATTCAATCTCACTATTTGAGGTGGTCAATGTATTAATTTTGGATTTTCTATATGGGGTGTTTTGAGTATTAGTGAAAGAAAAGGTTTATTATTATTATTAAAATTTTAGAGTTGTCCCCAGAACAAGAGGAAAGGGGAAGTTTTTTTAGAACATTTGTACTTGGTAAAACTCCCTCATATTTCATCTAATTTCCTGTTGTATCTGCGGGACAGAAGGTGAAGAGAACTTCCCCCATGGTACACAGTAAGAACAAATGTCAAAGGTTTCCCTACTCTATTTGGGCTATACATACACTTTTCATTTCTAAGCATTAATAAGGTCCTGCGATAGATGGAGGTACTTGTTTCTGCAAAACCAATTTGTTGAAAAATCTGCACAGTCACTTGGTAACTTTCCCTTTCTTTGTGCACTGTTGCATCTATCAAGCAGAGCTACAATGTGCTGTTGGAGGCTGCATGGAGTCTGTTTTTATGCAGAGCTACTTTTCCACTGTTCAGACCACCAAAGAAGAGAAAGAAGAAATGGTTTAATTTTTACTGGTTACCGAGACCCTTCTGACTTCTCTTTTCATCCCCTGTACCCCATTCTCCCAACAATTCTCTTGCTGAATTAAGCCACACATGGCTAATGGTGGACAGGAGAGGGGCATAAAATAGGGACAAGGGTCTCACAGTTTGTGCATGTTGAGGCTTGGTGCTTGCCTTTCAACTCTGATATTCTATGCACTGACCTACAAGTCCCATTACGATAAACGATACGACAAACTGTGGGGAAGTCACATGTGATAAAGGCAATCTCAAGCTTTGATATAGGTGTACAAACCTCTTGTCACCCAACAATCATTGGGAGAGCTATGCCCATGCATGGCCATCCTTCTATCTTAGCTCCATGGGTTTCTGAGTGGCCTCTTTGGTTTGACAGCTGGAAAGCTAAGGGTTGCTTGCAGTATTACCTATGTCACACAATGCTGCTGTATATGTCACATTCATTATCACTATAAATGGCTGTGCAAACAAGCTGTTAGCACGTTTTCCTTTCACCTGCTGGCAGGGGGTATTGAGGCACAAGCTTCACAAGTTGTTTGGACAGTGATGGGAGTGTTTGCAAGCTATTTATCTGTTTAGCAATGCAGATCTGCCCTGTGGTAGAAGATAATGCCTGGATTACATGAGTTTCATTTCATTAGATGTTGCTAATCATTCGCTGACAACTGGTCACACTTCGGTGTTAACCCTTTTCCTGGGGACAACTAGTTGCATACAATACAGTGGATTAAAATGCATGTAGCACTCAGAACACACATGAAGTACCAAGATAAATATAAGGATGTTTTCTTGATCCACTGTTTCTGGTAATAAATATATGCCTGTAAGACCTCCGCCCTGATGTCTCCTGCCTAAGTCTACTTGGGTGATGAATTGAATGGCCTGGATGAATAATCCCAATGGTTCACTACTGTTTTCCCTTGGGACATACCAGCACTTGAGCACTCATCCTATCTGCTCACAATATATTCTTCAATGGAAAGGTGCACATTTTGTACAAAACGTGATCTAAAGAACAATCACCATCAATGGCCAGACTGAGCATACCCAGACATTTTGTTTCTGTAGGCAACCCATGCCTGTACATGTTTGGAGTATATGTCCAAGTCTACAATGGCCATGTAGAGGGGTTCAACATGCAACAAGAACAGAATTTTTTTTATATAAAATCCCATTTTTATGTCTTACTATTGTGTGAGTCTTGATCAGTATGACCATCGCTCCTTGGTTTCTTCCCTTTTGGTCACCTTATGCATTGTGGCAGATGGGGCTCACTGCCTTGACTGCTAGGCCAATTACCCCAAGTAATTAGTGTCAAGGATCTCATTGATATTTATATGTAAAACTTCCATAGCTAGGTCAGTGGTTCATGGTACTGAAGCAAGAAGATCAGTATGACATCTAGGGAACTAACATTTTTATAGAGGTCTGCAATGGTGGTGTCAATGTTTCTCTAATGACAAGACTTTTCTAAAATGAACCTATCATTTGTCTATTCAGGTAAAGGAATGGATTCACTATATTGCAATACACAATTTCCCCTGCTCCTTCCATCTGGCTGCTGGGTTGTAAAGACAAACAGCCAGTATTTCTGGACAAAGCATGTGACATAGGCTGGCTTTACACTAGGACAATTTAATTAAAAAATGTTCATATTAAGATCATATATTCAATTTTTCTAATTTTTAGTGGGGTTAAATTGACATTTGGTTTTGACCACAGTGATGAGAAAATTGGCAGGAGCAGGATGGAGATTTTTTTCCAAAGAACATATTTGTAACGGTGTATGTGGTTTTCGTTTGGTAAAGGCCATTCATTCCAAAATCGAATATTAAAAGCAAACAAAACTTTGGAATACTTTCAAACAACATTCATAAAGCTGTCAAATGTACTGAGAATTTTCGTACTAATGTATGGCCAGCCTTACTCCCCTGTCATTTGCAATTACTTTGCAATTGGCCATTCAGGCACCAGCCCAATTACAAAGCAGTAGGAAGAAAGTTCTCAACACTTTCTAAGCTTTGACTAGGACTGACTTTGAGCTTGGGTTTTTCTTCCTTCTCCAGTCAGCAGATGGAGAAGCGAAGGATCAAAGGAAAGGTAAGTATAAGCTTCTGGTGGGGAGGGGGGGAGTAGCAATGCATTAGATCCTTGTCTGTTGTTGAAATAATTAATTACAAAATATAAAATTGAGAAAATTCTGCTGTGTTAACTGTAAAAAATAGAAGATTATCACCTGCGGTTCACGCTTTTACCCTGTAAAGACAGGTCAAAATACATGCAAATGATATACAGGGTGCAGCAACATAACTTCCTTTTTTGAAAAGCGTGCCATTCAGGCTGTAGCGGCCATAGCGGGCGGGAGTGGTCTCAGGCGACAGGCGTAGTTCTAAAGTTTTTGTTCTCTTCCAGGTCAGTCATCATCATGCATTGGAACAGTGAGCAGCGTGCGTTTGCCGTAGAGGCCTTCTTTTCGAACGGATTCTCTGTGATCGCAACCCAACGCGCCTTCCGACATCGCTTCAATGTAGCCCCGTTGGGCCGTGTCCCGGACCGGAAATCAATTGTTACATGGGTCACTACGTTCAGACAAACCGCGAGTACGACAAGACGAAGAGCTGGAGTCCCTCGACCCATCAGATCACCTGAGAACATCGAAGCAGTGAGAGCTTCAATCTTGCGATCCCCGCAGCGTTCTACACGCAAACATGCTTCTGCCCTTGGACTTTCGGATCGTTCAGTGAGGCGAATTCTTCACGATGACCTTCATTACCATCCGTACAAGTTGGCGATTGTGCAGGAACTCTCCAAACGCGACTTCAGTTCTCGGAGGAACGCATGTGAGGCAGTACTCGAAAACGTCCCTGAGGACGCAATTGTTTTTTACAGTGATGAAGCCCATTTTCACTTGACTGGATGCGTCAACAAACAGAACATGCGCTACTGGGCCGACACCAATCCTCGGGAATTGCATCAAAGGCCTTTGCATTCATCTAAAGTCACAGTGTGGTGTGCAATTGCCTCAGCTGGGATTATTGGTCCCTGGTTCTTTGAAGAAAATGAGGTCACAGTGACAGTGAATTCAGACCGGTATGTGAACATGGAGGAATTTGTTTTTCCACGACTTGATGAATTGGACTTAGGGGACATTTGGTTCCAACAGGACGGAGCAACGGCTCACACTTCAAGAGCATCAATGGCTGTTTTAAGGGAACACTTCCCGGAGCGCCTCATCTCAATAAGGGGCGATTTGGAGTTGGCAGCCCGCTCCCCCGATTTGGCCCCTTGCAACTTTTTGTTGTGGGTTTTTTTGAAATTCCGCGTTTATGTAAACCGTCCAAGGACCCTACAAGACCTGAAGGCCAACATCCGTGCAGAAATTGCCAACATACCCGCTGCTATGCTGGTAAGGGTCATGAAAAACGCCAGAAATCGGCTTATTCAGTGTATGGACAATGGGGGGCGTCACCTAGCTGATATGATTTTCAAAACTGTGTAAAACAGAACTTTAGATATGTACCTACATTATTAAAGACAATAAAAACAATTCTGATTCATAAAATGGGTTTTATTGCGTTTTGAAAAAAAAAAGTTATATTGCCGCACCCTGTATATATAACTTTCTGAACTCCACTAAATCATATCAGTAGAATGTGTGATGGAACACCAGATTTAAAGAATGCACCTTTTCCAGTGTTGGTATTTTTTGTCAATGGTCTATTAGAAACCCAGCAGACTTCTCTCACAATTCATTTTATTGCAGCTCTAAACCTTCACCATCCACAAAATGTTTTCATTAGAAAACTGACTTGTAAGCCTTGCACAGATATTTAGCCCCAGTCCACACTATGAATTGCGCATGGGCTCTGGGAGGAAGGGGAGGGAGTCACATGCTCCTCTATATATATAAAAAATGAGTGCGCTGTACACTAAAAAATCATAAACAATAATAAATCAAATAAATACCGCTACATAAAAAATGTGCATAAATGAATTGAAATTATATAAGTCCACATTCATATATTAAATAATTAAAAGTCCCAAAATCCAATAACACAGTGCTGTGTGCTAAAGAAATCCTCCAACGGAAAGTGCATAGGTGTCCACAAATGCTTGACACAAAAGAAACATTTTTTTTATAAATAAATATATATATAATAACATATATTTGTTCACACATTTATTCACATATTGTATTGTCTGGGGTGTAGCGCAGGTTTTTTCCCTTTTTTTCTGGTTTACATGCTCCTCTATAACAGGAGAATAATGGTGTTTTCTTTGTATCCAGAGGCCAAACAGAGCTTCAGGGCAATGAAGGAAAGGTGATTATGTACTGCTGGCCAGGTAGGTCATTAAAGTGGTTCTAAAGCCTTAAGGTTTTTCATCTTAATGCATCCTCTGCATTAAGGTGAAAAAACCTTCTGTGCTGCAGGATCCCCCCCAGCCCCCCCCCTATACTTACCCGAGCCCAATCCAATCCAGAGATGTGCAATTGCAAGTGCAGAATTGTCAATCAAATGCTAGGCCGAGCCACCCGCTCTGTCAATGGATGCAGACAGGGCAGCTTGGAGCAAGCCTGCACAGATGCCGCCATGGAATGCAGCTTTCCATGGGGGCACCCGCCAAAGAGGATGAGCTTAGAGCACTGGCAGGGGACCCCAGAAGCGGAGTATATGGGATGCTCTGTGCAATACCATTGCACAGAGCAGGTAAGTATACCCTGTTTGTTATTTTAGTAAAAAAATTACAATTTAAAAAATTAAAAAAAATAAAATGAAGGTTTAATGTCGCTTTAAAGTGAACCTGTTGCTTTGCCCTGCATTAGCAAAGCATAGAGGGTTTTTTTTTATGTCCTATCTTTATATGGTATGAAAATGCCTTTTTATCCTACATACTTTAATGTTTACCTGTAATTTCTTCCTTTAAAAAAATACAAAATTGAATTAAAAATTAGCTTGGAACCTGGAGCAGTTGCAGCTGAACCCTCTTTTCTCCCTCCCCCCCCCCCCCCCCCCTTTTTTTTTCTCTTCTTGTCTCTCTTTCTCTCCCCCTCTTTCTCCTCATTCACTCTATCCAACATTCTCAACATTACCTTCCCATTTCTCTGAGTTTGGGTGAACTTCGATTACCAGTAGACCCACAGGTACAATTACAGCTCTTCAGCCGCCACCCTCTAGGGGTGGACATCCAACTATCCACTGCTATCACCATCCTCTCATCGTGTATTGCATTCTGTATTTAGAGGGAAATATATTATATGAGAATTGGCTGATTTATGTACCCAATTGTTATGTTCACTTCATTCTCCATGTCGGTTTTTGTTTGGAGCATGTTTTTTTTATGTATTCTTAATTTCATCAATGTTATATGATGAAACTATGTATGTGTCACGGAGTGCCTGCTCTTCTTCTGCCCCCCCCCCCACCCCCCTGGTGCCTGTGTCTTCCCTGTGTCCCCTCTTCTCATCCTGTCGCAGCCTTTGGAGATAGGCTGCACAGGATAAGAAGTGTCACCTCACCCCTCCTGCCCCTTCTCACCTCCTCACATTCTGATGCTGCCTTTGAAGACAGGCTGCACAGGATGGGAGGAAAGTGACCCCTGCGGTGGAATTCACACCTCTCCCGGCCATATTCTGGCACGGGGCCGCCGACCTGTCTCCTGTGCCCCCGGCGGGTGCAGCATGGGCACGAGGCTTCCCGCACCCTGCACCCGCCAGAGACAAAGGCCGCGCTTTCGAGAGCACGGTCTGTGTCCAGGGGGCGTGCCTCATTGCCCCGCAATGCGGCGCTGGGCCGGACGGTGCCAGGGCAACCAGGAGCATCCTGCCTGGCCTTAAGAAGGCCGCGCAGGACTCTCTGTTCATTCCGTCCACTGCAAAGCTGCTGGGAGGTCTGCGCTTAGGCCAGACCCCCGCAGCCACTCTGCATAATACCGAGACTATTACCTGCTGCCACTCTGCATAGTACTCCAGGAATACCGGAACTATTACCCGCTGCCACTCTGCATAATACTCCAGGAATACCGGGACTATTACCTGCTGACACTCTGCATAATACTTGGGGAGACTCAGGACTATTACCCGCTGAACACTCTCCTAATGCTCGGAGCTCAGGAGGAGCACCCGCTGCTACACTGCCTAATACTGTGGGGCCAGGATGGCCCGTGTTGCTGTGTGCTGGAGACTCAGGACTATTACCTGCTAAACACTCTGCTGTGTGCTGAAAAGTGTCGCCCCCTGTTGTCAGCCGCTGTGAGCCAGGAAAAACCCCTGCCAGAACTGTGAGTGTCTGTGCCCCTGTTTTCCCCCCTGTATGGACTGTCCGTGAGCTTTCCATCCTTACTGTTCCCTGCCTGGATTACAATTTACCAGAGACTCCAAGTTTGCCCTTCCTGGGGCCAAATTACAATTGTTTTGGGCCCCATCCTTGCTCTTCCCCTGGCCCGGGTACTTGGATGCTACCTTCAGACCCAAATTGAGTGAGTATCATAATTCAATAAAGCTTTGTGTGTTTATCATCTGCTCTGTGTGTTCTGTCCTGCCTACGCTCCATCACAGTATGCTTCAGATGTACAGTATTTTCTGGTGTACAAGATAAGACTACATTTTATACTTAAAAATATACCCCAAAAATTGGGGGTCGTCTTATACGCGGGGTATAAAATGTGAACCTTGAGTTTGTTTGGGTCAAGCTGGCTGGATGTGTGGTAATACTGTACATACAGTATACCGTGCTGAGCCAAGCTGGCTCAAAACAAATGTCCCTATGACAGATTAATCTGTCAGTCCGCTGGATGTGCGGTATATACAGTAAACTGCGCGGAGCCAAGCGATTTCAAAACATACCGGTACGTCCCTACTGTAATCAGCCCACTGGATGCGTGTATGTACATTAGCTGCGGCTATATACAGTATACACTGGGCCAATCACGGCGAGTGATGTATTCTACTAATGAATACAAAACCTGCTCGGATTGGCTGAGTCAGAGAGGTGGGCTGATGATGTCACAACCTCAGCCAATCCGAGCAGGCTTTTTGTATTCATTAGTAGAATACAGAAATTTTTAGCACAATTAAAATTTTTATTATGACTCTGTGACCCATCATACAGAACAAAAATAATTAATTATACTCAATACATTATTTTATAAAACCTCTTTTATTGACCATTAACCTCAACCCAGCTCCTAAAACCAGAACACAAATGCCAGACCTAGTGTATGCCAATGCGTGTGTGATAATGCATTGTGTTATTTTACATCTCTTTGAGACTGGAATCATTTTTTTTTTTTCCAGATCATTTCTTCTAAAGAAACTCCAGTACATGAGTATAAATGCTATCATTTAAAGAAAAACCCTGGCTGAGAAAGTAACAGCTTTACCCGCCCCCAGAGCTGAGATATTCCCACACGCTGTGATTAAAATGTAACTAATTTGATTGTGTAGAAGGGGAGCTACTGATCAATCCTGACTGACGTATTATTGGGTGGATTAAATATGCTGGTCAGTGAGGACCACACAAACAGTTGGCCTGGGGTCTCAGCTTTTTTTTTCCTTAAGTAAAAAATGTAAAACGGAGTATACTTTAGTGTTAAATAAAATAAATATAGTTGATGGGGGAACAGTAATTTAAGATGAAATCTAGCATTTATTTGAGGTTTCTGCATGTAATAATTTATAACTTTTTGTTGTAAATCCCTTGACTATTGTGCATTTCCTGCATGCTTTTGAGGGTAATTTACATAGGCTTTACTTAACTGTGACCTGAAAAAGAGGATTTACTTGGAATCTAATTCTTACATAATATTAGGCAATTCAACTGTTTTAAAAGAGCGTGTAAAGTATTTAAAGGGAAAGTATCGTGAATTTTCAGTGAACACATATTTTGAACTATTATTACAATGTTTACAGTTTTTTTTAATGACTATATTTTTACATGCATGTTATCTTATAATTTATTTATTGTATTATTAAGTGTAGAAATATGTAGATTATTCACCGGAGAAAGCTCTTAGTGGTTAAGTTCAGTCACTGTCTCCCTATGCTAAGTATGAGTAAAATTGAGGATTTTCATTTCCCTGAAATGTTTTAAAGATTTTCCTATTTTGGTGTAGTCGATGCAGAAGACAAACATTATTGGTTTTAATGGTTTTTAAAGATGCAGTGGGCTTTAAATTGCTACTTAAAGCGCATCTAACCCCAAGAACAAAAATGTAATATATTGCAGGTTACCAGTCCTTACATGTAGTGGCATTATTTGCTCATACTTTAAATTTAAAGAATTGCCCCAATATCGTATTGCCATAATGTACTAGTATTCACAGAATATTAGCACCAGGGGAATTTTTTTGGCAAGCAATGGACCTTTGTGCAGGATCATAAGTTGGGCCCTTCTGAGCAAGAAAAAGAAATTGCAATGAGCAATGGACAAAATAGGGTGTGGGTTTTTATTGCACTGAATATTGGCTATGGCTAAAGGGAAGCAGAGTGCAGGGGTTCAGTAGAAAGTGATGCAGAGTTCAGAGGTCAGTAGTAAATTATACAGATTTTACAGGTCAGTAGTAAGTGAGTTTGGAGCTCCCAGTAAAGACCT